GCTGCTATTCCTGAGGGTTTACCAGCTGTCATTACAACTTGTCTTGCATTGGGAACTCGTCGAATGGCTAAAAAGAATGCCATTGTTCGTTCATTACCATCAGTCGAAACACTTGGTTGTACATCAGTTATTTGTTCTGATAAAACTGGAACATTAACAACTAATCAAATGTCAATTTGTCGAGTATGTTTGTCTCTTTCATCATAATGTATCTGATTGTGTATTTTATTAGATGTTCATATTCGGTAAAGTTGAAGGAAATGACTTTCAAATTGATCAATTTGAAATAACTGGATCAACATATGAACCAAAAGGTGACATTCTCTTTAATGGATCAAAGTTCAACTGTTCAGATCGTAGTGGATTAGTTGAACTTGCTGAATGTGCAGCTTTATGTAATGATTCAGCATTAGATTATAATGAGGTTAGAGTTTTATATATTTTTTTCTCACTCTATAAAATCATCTTTTATTGTTATTATTAGACAAAGAAAATATTCGAAAAAGTTGGTGAAGCAACAGAAACAGCATTGACTGTTCTTGTCGAAAAGATGAATGTATTTAATACTGATAAATCTCGTTTATCACCTCAAGAACTTGCCATGTCATCGAATACAATCATTCGTCAAAAATATCGTAAAGATTTCACATTAGAATTCTCACGTGATCGAAAATCAATGTCAAGTCATATAACACCTGCTGGCAAAGCTGCAGGCAGTGCTTCATCAGGAGCCAAAATGTTTGTCAAGGGAGCACCTGAATCAGTAATCGAACGATGTACACATATTCGAGTTGGCACACAAAAAGCCCCAATGACACCATTAATCAAACAAGAAATTATGAAATTAGTTCATCAATATGGAACAGGACGAGATACATTACGTTGTTTGGCTTTAGGAGCAATAGATAATCCAATGAAACGAGAAGAAATGGACTTAGAAACTGCAACAAAATTCATTAACTATGAAGTAAGATATTTAATGCCTAATGTAATTGTAAAAGAGATTGCTATTTATTGTAGACTAACATTACATTTGTTGGTGTTGTTGGTATGCTTGATCCACCACGTTCGGAAGTTATTGGTGCTATTGAACGATGTCGCGACGCTGGTATTCGTGTTATTATGATCACTGGTGATAATAAGAACACAGCTGAAGCTATCTGTCGTCGTATTGGTATTTTTAAAGACAATCAAGATACACGAGGTAAAGACGATGATTATAAAAAAACTATCTATTTTTCAATTATTTAAAATAGGTAAAGCATTTAGTGGTCGAGAATTCGATGATCTTTCAATTGAAGAACAATCAGAAGCTTGTCGACATGCAAAAATGTTTGCTCGTGTCGATCCAGCACATAAATCTAAGATTGTAGAATATTTACAATCACACGGTGAAATTACTGCTATGACTGGTGATGGTGTCAACGATGCACCTGCTTTGAAAAAAGCTGAAATTGGTATTGCTATGGGTTCGGGTACAGCTGTAGCTAAATCAGCAGCTGAGATGGTTTTAGCAGATGATAACTTTTCATCAATTGTATCTGCTGTTGAAGAAGGTCGTGCTATCTATAATAACATGAAACAATTTATTCGTTACTTGATTTCATCAAATGTTGGAGAGGTAAACAATAGAATTAAAATAAGATGAGAGATAGAGAATAATAATATTAATTTAGGTTGTGTGCATTTTTTTGACTGCTGCTCTTGGTTTACCCGAATCATTGATTCCTGTTCAATTACTTTGGGTCAATTTGGTCACAGATGGTTTACCAGCAACAGCACTTGGTTTCAATCCACCTGATTTGGATATTATGGAACGTCCACCACGTAATCCAAAAGAATCATTAATTACACCATGGTTGTTCTTTCGTTATATGGCTATTGGAAGTATGTTAATGATATCATCTTTCTGCATTATTAATCCGTATTTGGTCGATAATGAGAGATATAAAAATGCATACAATTTCTTTTCTTTTTATCTATTCTGTTAGTCTACATCGATTTTTTAGTAATCAGAAATATCTTGTAGTCGAAGCTTGTTGACTTTCTCTTCAAAAATCTCAAATCCGATAGATCTGAAGTTAATTATAGCTTAATCATGATAATGTCATCATCAAATATCTCGAAAGAAATATGTCTGGCGTGCTAATCAACAATATAAATAAGCGAGCTAAGGAAAATCTCTTATTTTTAATTCGACTGTCACATTCAGATCGAAAATATTTCTTATTAACATATGATATATACAAAGTTTAACTAATTTTCTTCTATTGTAGCGTACGTCGGTGCAGGCACTGTTGGCGCCTCATGCTGGTAAGCATTTATATAATTTTCAGTGTAGTAAATAAATTTCTAACTCATTTTCAGGTGGTACGTTTCGTATCATGATGGACCATTACTAACATGGGGACAATTGGTGAGAAAATAAAAAGATGCATGAAATGAGATAGACTTTTGAGAATGAATTTTTTATGCATGAATTCAAAGAGAATAGTTTCTTTTTTAAAACATTGATTTAACATATTTTTTTTCCTTATATTTAGAAACATCATTTCAGATGTGCAGCTGGTGGTAAAGAATTCGAAGATATAGATTGTGATGTCTTCGATGATCCACATCCAATGACAATGGCTCTATCAGTACTTGTCACTATTGAAATGTTAAATGCACTTAACAGGTATAATT